TGCGCACCCAAGTCGCTCTGGTCAGACCCGAAGCCGCTCCGTTCCGAACCCAGACCCCTCCGGTCCGACCCGGAGGTTATCAACTCATGGGAGCTCATGGCCGGCCTCGACGCCGATAGCTTCCGATTCTCGCCGCTCCCGCCGCCCAAACCCTTCAACTTTAGAGACCCAAAAACTGCCGGTAAGGGGAAAATAGAATCACACCCACGATAAGTAACCTTTCTGGGTTGTGAACTTGTGATCCATATTTGATATGACGATCTTGGTTGTCGTCTACATAAAGTGTATGTCAAAGAAATATACCCAAAAACGACACAATACCGTATATAATAAGTGATACACGTATGAAATAAAGACTTGCAAGCTATAGTAGATCAAGCCCAGCAGGGAGGCATTCAGTTATAATATTGGAGCAAATCAATGGCATAAATTGGGAAAATAGAATCACACCCACGATAAGTAACCTTTCTGGGTTATGAACTTGTGATCCATATTTGATATGACGATCTTGGTTGTCGTCTACATAAAGTGTATGCCAAATTATGTTACAAAGACTTATCATCATGGTATCATTAGATTTCTATTGCAATACCAAAGTTTTCAATTCGGGACCATAATTTTGTCGTTGAAATTTCACACACTATACATTAGTATTTCTGAATTTTCAAATTATTCTTCACAAAATGAGCAAATTAACCTATATATATTTCCACCGTTTTTATGAAGCCATTTACAGCTGGACTTTATGGTACTGCCGACAGACCCCACAAGAAAGGAATGGATCATCTTATTTTTGACTGTTCAAACCCCTGGGGGTACTATATTGTAATTTGCTTACTAGCTAGAAGAAAACAATGTAATTTCTTGGCTCTTTTGAATTTCAAGTCAAGCTTAATTATTTCGACAACAACAGCCTCTCATGCATGATTCGTAGGAAAGATTAACCACAAACTATTTTAAGGTTATGCCGTGTCACTTTAAAATTAACCACATATATAGCATTGGCTTTACTGGGGAAGCTCTCTCTGCTATAATAATTTTGTCGATGAGTGCTTGCTTATATTCAGACCCAATGGAAATACTAACTTTTACCCCTTCATACAAAAATAAAACAATAAAAAAATCTAGTGATCTTTTGATAATCTTTTCATTTGTAATATTCTTAACTTTATTTTCTTTGTTAGAGAAGAGAAAGGGTCAAATTCCAGTTTGGTATTCTGTGGTTTTACTTGTAAGACATGTTTGTTTATGTCCTCTCAATTTTAACAATTAGGTACCCCCAATCTTTCCAATTTTTTGCAATGCGGTTCTACAGTTAGGGTTTCTATCAAATCTCTCGTTAGTTGCCTACATACTACTTATGAGTCCTACATTTTCGATGGTTTTAGAGTCTTGCCAAGAGTATTTTCAATATATGAGGAAAATGATGAATGAAAGAGAGAGTGGTGGAAAAAAGAAGGTTAACCAACTCATCTTCCGACCCTACACGGTTACATTCCTCCCTCCCACCACCGCGCCGCCGGCCATGGGTGCGGCAGGAGGGGGCCCCACCCCCCCCCTC